CAAATTTCCAACCAATTGGCTGGGTCTTTCAAATTTCTTGGCATAGATGAGTGAGCGCCTTTGGTGCTACATCAGTTTGTGAAGGATTTCAATTTATATTATGTCAATTCCTGGAACCTTGTTTTTCTCTAATGCATTCATTACAGCTGGCCTTCTTCCTTTAGTACCATCAGTTCTTGATCATATGCTACCTCTTGAAATGACTAAACATTGATCATTTCTTTTTGCTACTCTGTTTATTATTTCCATCTTCTTTTGACACATTTTGCATAATCCAATCTCTTGACCATTGTGCTGTTAGGTGCCATTGAGTCAGTTCCAAATCCTAGTGACCATATGCACAACAGAATGAAACCCTACCTGGGCCTGAGCTATCCTTACAATTGTTATGTCTGAACCTATTATATTTGACACTGTGTCAATCAATCTCATGGGGGCAGGGAGTCTTTTTTCAATAACCCTCCATTTTACCAAGCATGATGTTCTTCTTCAGGTATTAGTCCCTCTGAATAACATGTGCACAGTATGAGAGCCAAAGTCTTCATCTCCTGGCTTCTAAGACACAATTGGCTATATTTCTCCCAACACAGAAATGATAGTTCTTCTGGTACTCCATGATACTTTTACCATTCTTTTCCAACAACATAATTCAAATGTATTGATGTTTCTTAGGCCTTTCTTATTCATTGTAGAACTTTCACATGCATAAAAGGTGACTGAAAATATCAAGCTTGGGTTTGGTGCGCCTTAGTACTCAAACTGACATTTTTGCTCTTAAAACACTTTAAAGAGGTCTTGTGCAGCCAATTTGCCTAGTGCAAAACATTGTTTGATTTCTTGACAGCTGCTTCCATGAGTGTTGATTGTGGATCTATGTTTCTAGTATTCTCTGCTTTTAGCCAAGAATTCTTCAATATTACAAACTGAGGCTTACATTTTTTCTTCACTTCTTTCAACAGGAGAAATGCTAAATATATTCTTCCACTTTGGTATTTTAGCTCCAGGTCTTTGCACATTTCTTTATAATACTTTATTTTCTCAAGCTGCGCTTGGAAATTTTCTGTTCAGCTCTTTTACTTCCTCGTTTCTTTCACTCACTTCAGCTTCTCTATGCTATAGGAGCAAGTTTCTTTTGACATCTGATGTCAGTCTCTTCTGACATTCAATTTGGTCCTTTCTTTCTTTACTGTATTTTTAATGATCTTTTTTGCTTTATGTCAGCTCATAACTCATCTGGTCTTTGGTTGTTAGTGCTTAATGCATCAGATCTGTTCTTGAGATGGTCTCTAAATTCAGGTGGGATGTATTCAAGGTCGTATTTTGGCTTTTGTGGACTTATTTTAATTTTCTTCAGCTTCAGCCTGAATTGCATATGAGCAATTAGTGGACTGTTCTGCAGTCTGCTTCTGGCCTTGTTTTGGCTGATGATTTTGAGCTTTTCTGCCATCTCCTCCCACAGATATACTCAATTTGATTCCTGTGTAATGTACCTAGTGAGGTCCATGTGCATAGTCACCTTTTATGGTGTCCCAAAAAGGTAATTGCTATGAATAATTTGTTATTCTATCAGGTGATTTTCAGCATCACTTCTGTCACCAATGCCTTATTTTCCAAATACTGATCCTTCGACTTTGTCTCCTACCTTCACATTCCAGTCACCAGTAATTATCATTGCATCTTGATTACAGGTTTGATCAATTTCAGATGAAGAAGTTGCTAGAATTCTTCAATTTCATCATCACAATTTTGGTAGTTGGTGTGTAAATTTGAGAATTGTGGTATTAACTGGTGTTTCTTGAGGGTGTATGGTTATTTTCCTACCCTAGAAAACACTGTACTTCAGTATAGATCTTGATGCTTGGAATCAACTAGTCCAATGGACTTGGAACAGGTGAACTAGATGGTGCCTGAGTACCACTACCAATTGCTCTGAAAGGATCACATTATATGGTCCAAGATAGAGTTGGAAAAAAATGTGGAACTAAAGTCAAAATTGTAACAAAAAGCCCAGGCTGACTGGTCAGAAAAAGACTTGAGTGTTGAGACTATGGCCCTCAGCCACCCTTCAGGTGTGGAACAGAACTCACCCTCATGGCCCAATTTTCAGCCAAGCAGTAGATAAAAGAGACATAAGGGGGACAGCAACACTCAAGGTATGTTCACTATGGCATGGTCAACTAGTCAAGATCAAAAGGGCAACATTTACTTAAGGACAGACTTCAGAAGGGTTGGGAAGGAGGGTGGAGTGGAAATAAGGATCACAGGGAGGAAGTGGGATAACTTGTTACATGTAGGGGATTATAATTATTGAGATCAAGTAAAGTATATGATTTGTTGAATATGAAGCTGATTATATCTTCTATAAACCTCCACCCAATTCACAGACACACACACACACACAAAAAAAAAACCCCACGAAAAAACAGATCTTGAAATGTTGTTTTTGACATTGATTGTGACAACATTCCTCTTCAATTTGTCATTGGCATATTAGTAAACCATATGATTGTTAGATTCAAAATGATCAATACCAGTCCACAGAAGTAGGTAAAACATTATCCAGTAAGTATTTTTATTTTATAATTTCCATTATTTTCTATTAGGGTTTTAATACTTCCATTTTTCATATATTACATTAACATAAATATATAACAATAAAATATAGAATATTATTTCATTTTTTGGCTTTGGAGATTGACAGTTGAATTATGTATTTGATAAATATGCTTTAAAAATGAAACAATTCCTTATTTGTAATTTGAGCATAATTTGTAGCTCCCTTTTTAACAGATATATGTATGCGTGCGCATACACACACTCACCCACATGCACAATTATCTCCGTGAATTTGTCTTTCCTTTTAAAAAAATTTCTTGCTCTTAATAAGTATCCTCTTATTTCTCTTTCTTATCAAGTAAGAAATTTCCTATTGGTAGAGCTTTGTTAGTACCCTTCAAATCTGATGTGTAATTATTCTTTTGTCAGTTTATTTGGGCACTTTAATTGTTCACCAAGGAGGTTTAGAAGCATAGTGGTTACGAGTTGGGCTGCTAATTTCAAGGTTAGCAGTTCAAAACTACCAGCTGTTCCAAGGGAGAAATATGGAGGTTTTCTGCTCCCATAAAGATTTGTAGCCTCTGAAACTCTATGCAGGGTTGCTATGAGTCGAAACAGACTCCACAGCATATAACCACCACAATGATCATTGTTTAACAGTCTGTCAAATTCTACCCCTTCCCCTGTTCAACAATGTGGTTTTTGTCTTGATTTCATATTCCCAGTAATGAAATAACAAAGTAAGATTAAAATAAAAGAAAGCACAAGAGGCAGGTTCAGCTTATTCAACTCATTTTTTTAATAGGTAATATAATAGTACATCCTTCCTATGAGGCGCAATGGTGGATTTCAAATGAGATCTTGATGTGACTAGGCAGTGCAAGGTATAATTAAGATGAGTTGAATTGATATGCAAATGTTTAAGGGTTTCTGGTGTCCCATGTCTTGGTCATTAACTAGGTCTTGTTGTAGATATTAATGAAAGTCAAGTTGAGATGCAAAGATACTAAGTTGACTTAAAGGCTGTAGATGGGAAACAGGAGGAGGGAACTCTGTCAACTACAGGTTGCTAAGGGCATCCACACCAGGAAGAACTTTACCTTCCAAAAGCTCCAGACTGGCACCTCCCCCAGTGCTCACATGACTGACTTTATCTTCGGTGTTCCATTTGGCGCAGCAAGTGGCAGTGTCTCCCCCACCTATTATGGTTATACAGCCCTTAGAAGTGGCTTTCACAATTTCATCCATGAGGGCTTTGGTTCCCTGAGAAAATGCATCCCATTCAAATACCCCTACGGGTCCATTCCACACAATTAACTTGGCCTTGGACACAGCTTCAGCATATGCCTTATTGCTCTCAGGACCACAGTCCAAACCCATCCAGCCAGCAGGTATGCCAGATTTTACAGTGGCCTGGCCAACTTTGGCATTCTCATCAAACTTGTCAGCAGTGACAAAATCAACAGGAAAGGTAATTTTCACGCCATTATTCTTGGCTTTGGACATAATGTCTGTGACTATCTTGGCACCCTCTTCATCAAACAGGGAAGCACCAATCTCCATGTTGCTGAGTATCTTTAGGAAGGTGTAAGCCATTCCACCACCAATGATCATCTCATTGACCTTGTCTAGCATATTTTTGATGAGTTGGATCTTGTCTGCCACTTTGGCTCCACCAAGGATGGCTAGAAAAGGTCTTTCTGGATTTTCCAAAGCCTTAGAAAAGTAATCCAGCTCCTTCTTCATCAGGAATCCAGATGCTTTCTTGGGTAGATTTACTCCCACCATGGAACTGTGGGCCCTATGTGCAGTGCCAAAAGCGTCATTGACATACACATCTCCCAGTTTAGAGAGCGATGCCCGGAAAGCTTCTACTTTATCTGGCTCAGCCTTAATCTTTTTTCCAGAAGCATCTTGGCCCTTTCCTTCTTCCTCCACATGAAAGCGCAGATTCTCCAGCAGGATGACTGAACCAACAGCTGGGTTGGCACAGGCTTTCTCCACTTCCGAGCCAACACAGTCCTTCAGAAAGAGAACATTTTTGCCTAGTAAGGATTTTAGCTCAGCAGCAACAGGCTCTAGAGAGTATTTGTCAGGCATGGGCACGCCATCAGGTCGGCCTAGATGACTCATTAGAACTACCGACTTGGCTCCATTATCTAGGCAGTACTTTATGCTTGGGATGGAAGCCTTGATTCTCTGGTTGTTTGTAATCTGGTTTTGCTTCATGGGAACGTTGAAGTCTACTCTTATGATGACTCTCTTCCCTTTAACCTCCAGTTTGTCCAAAGTCAATTTATGAGAAAGAGACATCTTGAAAAAACAAAGTTATAAACTGACACTGGGACTAAGATGTTAAAAAAAACAAAAACCCAAACCCCGCTTTACTGCCTCCGGAAGGTTGGCTGTGCTGTGATGTCTAACGTCCTTCCTTCTGTTCCGCCCCTTCCTTTTCTACGCTGTCTTTTGCACCGCAGCCATGATTGGACTGTACAAGTAGAACTCCGCTTTATTATTGGTCAGTGGTGCTGTCCATCAGAGTTTGGCTTTGTTTATTGGTTTAGATTCAAACTGCCTTAGGCAGAAGAGGATGACTGAGTAGCGAAAGCCACCTCGAGATTGAATGAAAACAGGGCAGATGAAGAAAACGTGTAGCCGGTTGGTCAAAAAATAAACCCTTAAAGATCTATAACCTTAATATCTGAAACCCTACACAGGGTCGCTATGGGTCAGAACCGACTCCACAGTACTTAAAAACAATTCATGTCAAATTATTATTTGAATTATGAAAAACCTGTATGGTACCAAATAAAGGGAGAATTTGAAATAATGGGTCTGTGAAACGTTGTTTTATTTTTTTAAGACAACTTAGTAAGCCTTTGTTTTTGCCCTGTCTTGATAAATATTTCTGTTAAGGGCATAGTTTACTTTATATACATATAGTAAAATAGGGTGGGGATGGTGTAACTTTTGAAACATCTTCTTCATTCTCACACTGCATGGAAGACTGCTTGTCTTTCTGCAGATTTCCTAAGGTAATTGCAAAGAGAACAGGAATAAAATGCAGTAAGGTGATGGTGACATGCATCTTTCAAGACTACAAAGTCATGGTGAGGCGCCTTAACGCTTCTCTCCTGTCTTTTTGTTTTGCTTTGCTTTTTTGCTAGCTGTGTAACTTAAAAACTGATTTGAAAAGAATGATAGTTTTGATGAGCGTGAATAATAAAAATGTCAGTTTGAATTGAAAACGAGTGAGAGATTTTATTTCTAGAGAATGTAAGTATGTAAAGCTGATTGGTTGGTAATGACAACTGGTTTTGCCAATTAGTTTATATGGCAATTGTCATACATTAAATGAGCTATAGTTGTGTAAAGGCCAAAGAAGTATTTGAGGCATGAAATTAAAAAATGACATTTGTTTAAATATTATTTTCTTTGCAGAGAAGATAGATTGATTGTCATTTTCTTAACCCTTTTTTTAGTATTTTTTGATTAAACAAAGTAAGCAAATTATAAACAGACATTGGATGTGTTTCCAGAAAAATTATTTTAATATTATTATAGAATATTTCATAATTATTTTCTTGTAAATTTTACATTTTCTTTTCAGATTATTTGATTGTACTTTAATACTAAAGATTCTTTCATCAATTGTTTACTAAAAGAATTATGATGAAAGTCAATCTAGAAAAAAAATGCTCGCGCTTAGTGATTCTTGGTGCTAAGAAATAGCAAGGACTTTAAGATATCACTTTATATTTTTGCAGCAGGAAAGTATGATATGGTGAAAAAGATTTTTAAGCTTAAAATTCTATTATATTAGGAAAATAAATGTGTAGTGAAAGTGGGATGGACTTACCACTTTATTTACTAAAAGGAACCCTGTCTAATATCTGTTAAAGAAAAGCTAGGTCTTAAATGTGGAATATGTGTTTTAATAGATGTTGATGGGTAAGTAAAACACCTTGGTATTTAGATACCATTATGAAAAGTGATGGAGTCCTGGTGTGGTGTTGCAGGTTAATGCACTGGACTGCAAAGTTGGTTTGAACCATAAAGTTGGCAATTCAAGCTCACCAACTGCTTCCTGGAAACCCTATTCAAGGTCGCTATGGTCTCAAAAGCACTTACCGACAGCATAAAAAGCGATACAACTGTTTTACTAAATAGAGAAATGTTTCCAGTTAGCTGGAAAGAATATCTTTAATCAATATTTATACTTATGATTTAAGAAAGTTAGACATAGAAATGAGTGAGTAGATGGTTTTTAAAACATTTTTTCAAGTACTATGTGAGTACAGTAAATGCAAGAGTGCGGTCCTGGATCCTATTGCATCTAAAATTTCTGTGTTGCAATCTCCATGTTACATCACACTCTGAAGTCCAAAATAAAAATCCCACCTAATCTTCTGAAATGTATGTTTCTAATTTTATGTTGTGTTAAGTAGCTTTAGAGCAGGATCATCCTCTTAGCCTCTGTCCTGGAAACCTTTAAGCCATGTTAATTTCCTATTTCTTTCTAACTCCTCATAGCTGATGGATCTGTTACTAAATTATATATATACTTCCCAGCTACTAAACTCTATCTTGTTCCTCCATTGTACATCAATTACTCATGAAAAAAGTTTTTCTTCACATGACCAAAATATTGGTTATTTTTATTTTTCATGACCCCAAGTGATTTTATTGTTATGTAAGAAAAATAGACCTGTTGGGGGTGGGGGGAGGGGTGGTGGTTACAGTACTCTACTTTTCTGCTGGGTTCAAAAATCCATTTATTTATTGCAGTGCCATACAGAACTTAAACACAATTCTCACAGTCATAGGGTTTATTAGAGAAGGTAATAGTTTATAATACAGGATAACAAAGTGTCCAGGGCACAGTTCTTACAGTCAGGAAATCCTTTCTTCAGTTGTGTCCACAGGCACACCTCTCTCTGCTTGGCCAATGTTACAAAGCTCTTTTAGGTCTACTGATAAATGCCCACAGCACAGAGCACTCAACCATAAGCCTCAACCTGAAGACACTCAGCTCTGACTCTGTGGGTCAGAAAAAATCTAATTCCCCAATTAAATACTTGGAGGTCCCCTACTCTGCAAGCAAGCCTCTTGTCTGAAGTCGCTCAGCTCTACTTACTTGGTGGTCTGGGAAGCTTACCACTCTGTCTCATGTTCTGGCTCTTGGTTCTGCTGCTGCTGCTCTTCCAGTTGAGGTGAGTATCTGGATCAAGGAGTTTCAATGCACAGGGATCTCTGAATCTAAATGTGCACTCCAAACCTGGTACTTCTTTGATGGTAGTGAAATTCCCCCCTCTGGATTCTGAGCTGGTTCATTTTATACCCATGTTAGAGTTCCAAGTTTTTACAATTAACCTTGTTAACAATCACGCTCAACTGAATCATAAAATTGACCAGTATTTTTCCCCATTATCTTTTACCTAGACTCATCCGGAAAAAGTAGTCTGGTGGGAGTTAAAAACACTATGACTAGAAGACACATATGAAGTAGTTCACTTCACCAGAAGACCAAACTGCTCTGACTTTTGAATCCCTCTACATTTGATACAAAAATTGTATTTCTAGTCTTATTTGCCATGTCTTCAGTTTTTAATTTAAAGTTAATAATACTTTTATTAAGTACATGTAATGTGTGCATCGTTCACTAGGATGGCTCTAATAAATAGCAACTGTGGGTGAGAATGTGGAGAAATTGGAACCTTTATATGCCATAGGACAAGCAGTTGATTTCAAGGTCACATTGAGCTGCAAGGTCAGGAGTTCAAACTCATCAGCTGCTCCTCAGAAATGCTAAACAGGGTGGCTATGAGTCGGAACTGACTCTACAGCAAGTAGCAAAAATGATAATACATTGCTGGTGGGAATGTAAAATTGTGTGTTGTTGTTTTTAAGTGCCGTTGAGTCAGTTCCGACCTATAGTGACCCTGTTTAGGATTTCCAAGGAGCAGCTGGTAAGCTTGAACCACCAATGCTTCAGTTCAAATAGATCTTACAGTCTAGTGCATTAACCTGAAGTGCCACCCACAAAATAACCACTTGGCATTTCCTCAAAATATTAAGCACCGATTCATGTAATCCAACAATCCCACTCCTAGATGTATATTGTTGTTGTTAGGTGCTATTGAGTCGGTTTCTGTTCATACCTTATACACAACAGAACGAAACACTGCCCGGTCCTGTGCCCACCTCACATTCGTTGTTACTCTTGAGCCCATGGGTGCTGCCACTGTATCAATCCATTTAATTGGAGGTCTTCCTCTTTTTCACTGATCTTCCACTTTACCAAATATGATGTCCTTCTCCAGAGATATATATGAGTACAGTGTTATCATAAGATTCATTTTAATGGTTACAATCCAAATACCTGGCAATAATAAATGTCAGCGATGTACAGCAACAGAAACTCTGTTATTGCTCTTAGGAAATAAACATACTGCAACCACTTTGAAAAATGGCAGCATATAAAAATAAAAAGCTAAAATATTTATGTAATAACACTTTGGATAGATAGATGAGAAATTCATACATTATAAAATATATACTTCTTCAACTTTTTCTGCTTATTATTTTATTGAACTTTTTCTCTAGTATATTGCTCATAGATAAATAATGAGCACAATTTAATGTTGCTTCATTTTTGCTTTTGAATGTCTGACTGTTTTTGTTTTTTAAAGAATACACAGGATAGCAGGTAAGCATAGGACAAAATTTTAATGACTATACTGTCCTATAATAGATTATAATTATCTGTTGCTCTTAACTTTGCAAATAGGAGGTTAAATGTTGAGACAATGTTGTAATGGGAAGCCAATAACAAAGAGCAATGAAGAATTAAACTTAAGTCTGATATCCTCTGTTGTTGCTAAGTGCCTTTGGGTAGCTTCCAATTCATAGTGACATCTCCTTCCTTATTAATGAGTCAGTAGGAGTGCTGGTGTTGCACTGTGGGTTAATGTGCTGGACTAAAAAGTTGGCTTGAATTGCAAGGTTGGTGGTTCAAGTTCACCAGCTGCTCTTCAGAAACCCTATACAGGGTAGCTATGAGTCAAAACCTATTCAATAACACTTAACAACAACAATAATACAGTGCTCCAGTGTGTTGACAGGCTGATAGTGGGAAAGGAATCAGATCAGTGGACATTTCATTCTCTGACATTTCCAAGCTGATGGACAAAGATCAAAGCAAAGTTCTGAGGTAGAGTAGGACCCACAGTGTCTAAGTAGCCACTCAGACAGAGGACTGAAATACGTGTATGTTGTTTTGGCCATCCACCTAGTAGTGTGGGTCTTAGATC